AACAATATGTAATGAAATGTCAAAAAAAAAAAATATTTTTAACGAGCAAGTCTTTTTTTTTAGAACAACTCTTTGTGTTAGCAAATGCATCCATGACGACGCAGGAAAAATCTTGGTATGGCAAAGTTTTTTTCAAAAACAAAAGACCAATTAGTTTATTTATTTTGTTTTATTTTAATAAATAGCAATATTTATTGTTTATAATATATTATAAAAAAAGATAGTCGAGGTCAATTACTAGATTTCAGAACGACTCTATTTTACATTGCAACACTGGTAATGTCACGAGTGACAATCATGGCTTAAAGGACTTGTAATCCAGGTCATAAACTCCAAAAAAAAAGAGTGACAATCAACTTGTCAAACTAAGTGAAGTGCTATTTGACGTTGACTTTGAGGTTATTTAATAAACAAACTCGTAAAAACACAAATATTTTTACCGGTAAACTTATAATATAATTAAATAAAAATGTCTAGTAAACCTAATTCTAAGCGTACTATTTACGTTGGGGGTTTGGCAGAAGAGGTAGACGAGAAGGTTTTAAATGCTGCCTTTATACCGTTCGGAGATCTAGTTGATGTTCAAATACCTTTAGATTATGAGACTGAAAAGCACAGGGGCTTCGCTTTTATTGAATTTGAGAATGCGGAAGATGCTGCAGCGGCTATAGATAATATGGTACGTTTTTTTATACATAAATACTTATTAGAATACTCAGCGGATATCAAGATAGTCATTGTTGTAAACACTAACCCCCTTATTACAAAACAAAGTTTATCTTTAGTCCAGGCTTAAACCATTGAGTCGGGTTTTGAATTTTGAATCTTATGGTCATCTACCTTCAATTCGAAATACGAAAACTGGCTCAATGGTTTAGTCCTAAAGTTAAACCTTGTTTTGTAATAAGGCTGTTAGTATTTTAGAGCAGTGTAGCATTAAAATCCCTGTTTACACAGTAATAAAGCTTGAAAACCTAGTTTGTTATTATTTCATACTTCTTGTGAGTTTAAATGCCATAAAATGGACTACAATAATTCACAATGGGGAGAAAAAGCGCCAATTTCTCTCGGTAGGTGGCGTCTTGTCGTTGGTACCTGACGCACTGTCAAAACTTGGTCAAAACAAAACATAGGGTAGACGCCCATTTATTGGCACTTTAAGAGGATATGAAAACTATGAATATTCCTTATTTATTATAAATTTAAACAATGAAAAAGGATTTAAACTTAAACTCTTTTAATGTTACTAGAAATTCTTTTCCAATACACTTTATTTTAGGTTCATCAATATGATTGAACATTTTTTTTAATTAAATGATGCTGAGTATAAAGACCAGACTTTGGCACAGGAAAACCCCTTTATTGGCAGTGGTCATAACCCATTATTGGCTCGGCTTGTATTTTCCCAATTTAGGCATTCAGGAACAAAAAAATGCAGGAATAGTAATGAAAAATATTATATATTTCTATCAAGAAACAGAAACAGATAAGGAACTTTTCCTCATTAAAAATTAAAAAAAAAAATAACGAAACACACATTTCTAAACTTTATAAGTTACCAATGAATCCCTTAAATGCAGAACCTTACAATGTAATCAACTGAAACATTTTTATTTATACTATAATTACGTACCAACTAATCATCTAAATAAATCAACGAGTTTTGAGATCATCAAGTATCTACGACTAGGTATATACCTAATAGGTATCAATCATCATCATCTAATTCAGGCAACATTTTTTCTATTTCGTTCAAGGTGTATGTTTTATTAGGACTACTTCCTTGCATTTTGTTTCTATCAATTAAATCCTGATCATTTTCTTTGTTTTCGACAATGTCTTCAGTATTCAATTTATAAAATTTCTCAGAAAATAGTATTTTCGTTATTTCGTCTTTAGCCTTATTTTTGGTTTTGTTTTGTTTCTTTGGCGCCGGTTGTTTCTCTTTCTCTAATTTCTTTCGTTCCCTTTCTTCTTTTCTTTTCTTGATACCTTCTGCTTTCTCGGTTTTAATTCTGATTTTTCCACTTTCTTGTGCTTTCCACTTATCTGAGGGTTTTTACAGAGCACGAACGGGGTTTTTACAGAGTTCTTAACTCCTTTTCTTGTCGGTGGTTTAGGTAATATCAAGATTTCTCAGTGGTATTGATGAAACTGTGAGAGATGGATTACATTGATCTGAAATAATTTGTATTGACTGAGTTTTTGGAAATTCAACATTCTGGTCTTCAGGAGTAGTGTGTATTTGAACACTGTGGTTTACTAATTCAAAATGAGGTTCTTGTGACAAATCTTCAATTATCACGTTTTGTTCATCTGGGCATTCTATGATTTCTTCAAAAACATTTTTTTCTGAGATAGATTGTAACTCCGAGTGTTCTGGTTCAACAATATTATTTGGACTATCGTTAATAAATATTTTCATGTTTTCGATGTCTAAATTATAACAGTCTTCAATATTTTTAATAACTTCAGGTTCAATATCTTGTTTTTGTTGTTGATTAGAATTTGATGATTTACCGAAGAAATGCCAGATTTTTTTTATCAATTCAATGGCCTCCTCTGATTTTAACTCTCCTTGTTCAATGTTATTAATCTTATTCTTGCCTACTAATTTTATAAAGTCTTCTTTTGAGAGTAATTTCTCTTTTTCTTGAATCATGCCAGAAGAATTGGTTGTTTTTGTGTCATTAGTTCAGAGGCATTTTCTATAGTCTACTGCATCTTCGTTCCAAGGACAAATTCCTGTTGCTCTAAACCCCTTGATAATAGTTTGTGGCTTTATGCTTTTTTCAATGGTTGTTTTAAGTAATGACACAAATTGAATCTTAGTTAGTGCTTGAGATCGATTTGTTCTTCGCCATTTCAAGACAGTTTTTTGCCATTCCGTTTTAAGAGGCTTAAATGCAGCAACATCTGCTGGTTGTAAAAGCCTTGTGCAATTTGGGTATAGTGCAATTAGAACTATCTGCAAAGTCGAACACAGTTCACTCACGGCGTAAGTTAAGTGTGACTTGTGACCGTCTACAAACAGTATGACCGGAAATTTTGTGCTTATTTTGACCAGATGGGGATGTAAGACGTTCTTAATATATTCATAAAAATATCAGTATTCATCCACCCATTTTCACTTAGACCCACGCCCCAATCTCCTGGATTTTTTGACGTTATTTCAGCAGGTAATCTTTTATTTGGAAAAATTACCATAGGTGGAGTAAGATTTCCATCTGCACTAAAAGTAAACATTACAGTCAACGAAGTTTTTGCCTGGGCGTGATCCACTTCATATACGTTTCTTTCTCCTTTTGCATTTAAAACTAAACCAGTTTTTGGGCACAACACAAAATTTGTTTCATTCCCATTTAATATTCGTGCTGGGTCAGAAAATATTTGAAGCAAATTATTTTCCACAAAGTAGTCATTGATTTGCCGAAACCATCCTCTAACATCATTTTCTGACACTGTCGAACTGGCAGCTGTAATTGCTTCTGTTGTACGGAAAGTAAGGGTGGGATGTCTGGCTAAAAATAATTTAAACCATTTCTCGCCATTCTTAAAAATGGACGAACGATTAATTTTTTTTTAGGAATTCCGAAACGCTTTTGGTCAAATCCTCTTTTCTCTTTGGGAAACCTTTTCGGCTACTGACTTTGATCCAGTTGACTAAAGCTTCTTCCTCGGTATTTAAAATTGTAGGTTTACAGCCATGCTTTGGATTTTTTAATCGAAATTGTATGGTCGAACGCGGCACTTGGAAGGTTTTGGCTGCAAGTTTTTTACTCATGCCTTTAGCAATTTCTGCAAGAGCTTTTTGTAAATTTTCATCTGAATATGCTTTTCGCTTAACCTTATCAGTCGTACACAAAACGAGTCGAAACATTAAAAATGATGATTGAAAATGGTAGCAAATCATCTAAATAATCGAGTTTAACAGTATTTGTCATCAACACCCAAAAGAATTGCGAAAATTATTGAGATTAGTAAACCTCTTATCTTAGCAGAAGCACAAAATTTTGTTAGTTAATTTTTTTCATGTCCGAGCACGACAAAAAGGTGTTCACTGGGACGCCATTTAAAAAAAGGAACGATTTCTGTGTTACCAGTAATATAGAACGCTAAACCTAAATACATACATATATACATACATACATCTCATACAGAAGAACTTAATAAGAAACTGAGTTCCTCGTCGTATGCTTTATGGAAATTATCATACATCGTAAATTCGGATGCACTAATTACAGCATACCACGGCATTGTAGACTCTGTCTGGTTTGGCATCTTATTCTGGGGTAACTCCACTAATAAGGAAATATTATTTAAAGCCCAAAATGGTGTGTCAGGTCCATGTTTGGACTAGATACAATGGATATTTGTCGGCCATACTTTATTAAATATAATATTTTAACCCTACCATCATTATTTATCTATGAAACTGCAATCTTTGTTAAAACTAATTCAAACTTATTTAGTCGTCTCTCGGATGTAGTTAGTCGCAATCGAAGAGATAATAATAAACTATGTATAGTTCGGTCAAATACAGCATTAATGCACAATAGCATTTTATGTTAGGCACCAGTAATTTATAACAAAGTACCAAAAGAAATAAAGACTTTAAATATAAAACATTTTAAAGTGCACCTAAAAAAATATTTGATTGAGAGGTGCTACTATAATTTGACAGAATTTCTAACAGATTCCTAACATTATGACATTTTTATCCGTCTGTTATTCAATTGGTTCCTTTAGGTTTTTGTGACTTCGACGGTCTTTGTGTTTATATTTGTAATGCCACGTAAAAATAATTATATTAATTTTAATTAAGTTAATACATTTGTACGCTGTTAGCCACAGCAAAACATGAAGGTTAATGTACTCCTTTTAACATCCTACATTACAACATATAAATATGTATCTTGTTCTGTACACACGTGTTTTACAAATAAATTATCTTTATCTTATCTTATCTTTATCTTTACTATTTCTTACACGAAAAAAACCTGTATGCGGATACTGGTAACCTTATTATTGATAAATAACTGCAACGTGCCAATAAATTGGTGGAGTGTCAACAATAGGTGGTCTTACCCTATGTTTTAAGTGATTAAACTTTTTTTTGCATTATAAAATTAACGAAATGCCGCGATGCTGTGCTTATAATTGTGAAAATATTGGAATTCATCGTTTTCCTAAAGACAAAAAATGCTTGCAATCTTGGATCAAAGCAATACGTCGGAACAATTGGAAGCCGACTTCGACTTCAAGTTTATGTGCAAAACATTTTAAACCAAGTGATTATTATGAAGAAAGCAAGTATACAGGTGAGATATTCAATCAATAACAATAAAAACATTTATTACGCGAAAATATAAGTATCTACCTATTACATAACATATTTGCATTTATTTATAGGTATTAAATTGGAAAAGAAGTTATTGAAGAAAGGCGCCATCCCCTCGATTTTTTCCTTTTCTAAGTGTGAAGAGCAATCTAAATCAAAAAGATCATTACGTTATGAAGCACGCTGTGCAAAGAAAGAGCTATTGGGACTCTCAGAACTGAAACTTGACAGAACTCCTGATGCTCCGGATGTAGGTGCCAACATAGTAATTGAATCTGTAGAACCACAGACAGAGATTATTTCTGATGATGTTTCAAATATTATAGATTATGCAGAAAAACAAACACAAATAAATATAGATTATATATATGGGTCTGTATGGCGATCTCAACATGACGTCATCAAGTTTTATACAGGCTTCGAGTCTTATGGAAAACTGTTATTGGTTTATTCTACATTACATCAAATGGTTCCACACATTAATTATTATAGATATACAGTTTTAAGCCTGTCTTATTTGGACCAGTTTTTCATGACTTTAAAGAAGCTTCGACAAAATAAAACCTCATTTGAGTTATCTAGATTCTTTAATATTTCCACCGCGACAGTTTCTAACATATTTATTACATGGGTGAATTTCATGTATCAAACGTGGAACACGCTAGATATCTGGCCAAACAAAGACTTAATACATTTTTATATGCCAGATTCCTTCAAAAGATATGATGAAAGTACACGTGTACACGTGCGTTTTTAAAAGGAAATGATCAACTGCCTGGATTAACAGTGTTACATGACAGACAACTTGCTAGCAAACGTGTTCACATAGAAAGATTAAAAGGTCTTACCAAAACATATAAAATAGTAAAAACTGACCTAGACCACAGCTTTATTCCTCTGGCTTCAAATATATTTTATGTATGTTTAATGTGTTGTAACTTCAGAGAAGGTATTATGAAATAAAAGAAAGAAAGAATAAAGTATATTAAGTGCATAATAATACTTATACAAACTGTTAGTGTATTTTAATGCCTGTCTGTCAGTCTTTCATCCCTACATTACTGAACCGATTTTAATTAAATTTGGCATAAACATATAAAGTATCTTATGTCCTTTCTTCCACTGTTGACAGCGTTACATAGATAAAGATTCCATTAAATATATTAAGCTTTATTGCACTCTTTTTATCACACTATAATTTTTGTACAAATGTTTTTCTAATATAGCATTTTTGAAATGTTCATAATAAAAATCACTTAATTTATCCACCATATCTTTGACGAACTCTTCATCTCTCTCTATGTGAACAGTTTGGAGATGTGAAAAAGTAAATATTATAAAAATACAATTCTTTTTCCCTGAACAAAAAAGTTGGCCTTGGATTTGATAAAAATAGGGGTGTTCTTTCTTAAGGACTAATTCACCGTTTACTAAACTTAAATAGGGCACAGTGATGGGACTGATATCACAGTATCTTACAGTGTATGGGCATTTCACTTCTACAACCGAATCATCCCGAAATAAACCATCGGGTAAAGCTCCCAAAAAAGGTTTTTTTTTTGTGAGGGGAAAATCATCAAGTGACTTCTCCCGCCCAGGGCCGGGCAGGAGGGAGTGTCAGACTCTTACTGACTAAAAACCCCCCTGTTCCTTCTCCTGCTCTATGCGGAGGTCGCGGTGCCTCATTGCGCTTACCCTGCAACCCCGGCTGAACATCAGCCCTTTAGGGCCCCGTCTGTGGTGGTCTAATGGCTCTTTGAGGCGCGAACGGAACGCTACGCGCCGTACGCTCGCGCCTGGTTCTGGTCGGGCGGCGAGCTGCCCTTACTCGCCGACCGCAGGCCCGTGCTTACGGTGGCCGAAGATCGTCCCTTGATCCCCGACGCCCGTAGTGTAGCCAGTTGCGGCTGCTGGGGCGTGAGGAGGAGGATTGCTCCCTCACGCGGGCCGCCTCTCTCTTTGCGAGCATGACTGCTTCACAAAAGGAGGAAACGGCGTCCCAGTTCCTCTCACTCCGCACCATGGCCTCGACTAAGGCCGGGCGCGAGAGGTCGCCGCCGCCGATCACTTCCCTGAGGATACGGCGGTGCTCAGCCCAGGCAGGGCATACCGCTACCGTATGCTCCACCGTATCCTCTAGGTGGTCCTCTCCCAAAAAAAAGAGTGGCTTTGTCATAAAAAGATTCCACATCTTCTCACTTGCCCACTGTACATATATTCAAATTTAGCTATGGCTATTGACTCATTGATTTGGCCATGCATTGTAGCTTTGGATATAAACTCTTTTGGATTAATTATTTTATTTGCCAAGTTAGCTCTATGATATTCTATACAATGACAACTTGTATGAAATTTACTTGCGGTTAAATGAGTTTCATGTAACTCTTTCCAAAACTTACAATTATTTTGCTCTCTAGTATTTTCTTCAATTATTATTAGTTGTTGTTGAGTAACATTATCCAAATGCAATCTTTCTATTGTGAGCTGTTCACCAGTTTTTTTCTCATAATATGAGGGATCGCACTCTATTGCATAGGTTTGTTTTAAAGGTGCTGATGTCTGCCCATAGTTAATTATTAAATTTCTGACATAGTCAGCATATGATTTTGGTAATACAGCAACATTTATTGGCTCATAGTTTATAGAATATTTTATCTGCTTTCTTGGCAAATCATCACATTTTAAAGGAGAGGAATAGAATGGTTTAGGCCTTTTGAAAGTCATTAGCTTCTGGGTACAGACCCGGTGCAGTAAAATACACTTGTCTTGGACCATATGTGCAATGCCATATAATGCTACTAGTACATGTTTACAATGAGCTTCATGTCCACTTCCAACTGCACATTCGCAATGTGTTTCTTCTATGGAACCACAAGCATTCCTTAATTTTATATCAACCACATAAAAAATCTTCTTCATTGATGCCATGCATTGACATTTTATGTATGTAAAATCACCAGCTCTGACTGCACGAGCTGTGAGTAAATGTCGGCTCTCATACATTTGCCAAGCATTTTTTGTTTTCTTTTTGTACACTTCTGCAAAAGCCTGAATATGTAGTTTTGTAAATGCAGGCAATATGGTTTTCGAATTAATATCTTTGTAATGTTCATTTGAGGGTGTAATCATTTGGACATCATTTTCATTATCCTCAGTTACTATATTAAAATTTTAATCATATGCTTCTAATCTGGAACAATATAAACAGAAATTAATTACACACGTTGTGATTTATGCGAAATAAAAATAATGGTGTCGATTTTTGTGTAAATATTCAATACCTACCTAGCTATGAGAGCAGCCTTCTTTCCTGTTGTTTTAGGTTTTCTTTTGCGCAACTCTTCTTTTAATTGAGCCACAGTCAACGAGGAATACATTTTATTTTACTAAAGACACACAGGTACACCTAACTATTTTCGAAAACAAAGCATGATTAATGCATAACCCCGAAGAGTTGCGGACGGCTGAATGAGGTACCAACGATTGTCGCGCCATCTGCAATTGACTTTGCCTTGGCCTCCCCATTCACTTTTCTTTTTACATAACCTAATGCTTTTTGTAAAACGTTTCAGAATGACTCAGAACTCTTTGGTCGAACGATCAGAGTAAATATAGCAGCACCACAGCGTATAAAAGAAGGTTCCACCAGGCCAGTGTGGTCAGAAGACTCGTGGTTGCAGAAGTATGCTGGGGAAACATTACCTGTGTCCAAAGATGGTAATACTAAAGAAAATGAAAATAAAGAGGAGGGAACTAAAGAAAATACAGATAATTCTAGCGTAAGTTCTAATTTATATATATATTTTTGTTGTTAGATACATTTGAAGAATAAATTATTATTTATTCTTATTTTTTATTGTCTAGTAAGGGTGCACAAGCGTGTTTGGTATGAGACAAGTATTTATAAAGTACATAGGTATTTGCTAAGCTATATGGTTTTAATGTATTTTTCTAGTACCAAAAATTTGAGTTACTTTGACCCAGGCTGGTTACTTTGATCCAAATGCCTTAAAAAATAATTATCCAGAAAGGGTTTGGTGGATCATAGTCCAGGTCAAATTAACCCAAACTTATGATAGTAAAAATAATTTCACTAACACATTCCTATGATTTAAAACACAAATGTATTCAGAATAGTTTGAATTCACTTTGGACTGCATTACTTTTAGTTATTTATTAATTATGATTATGATATGTGTACACAATCTAGTTGGTCTTGAATGGAATGTAGTGCTTAAAGTTACAACTAAGAACATAAAAAATAACCCAATGACTAATGAAGAAATATCTTAAAGTTTATGTACCACCTTAAAAAGGTTAGACCAATAAAATTTGAAATTTGAAATAATAAATAAAACTGACACAATAACAGCAACAAAAAATATTGGTGATTGTCCATAGTAATACCTTTTTATAAATTAAATTTTGATGCTTAGTTAAGAATTTATATTTTCAGGCACCGGCAAAATCAATTGAGAAACGTAACCCACAAGTTTACTTCGACATAAGTGTGGGCAAGCAATCCTTGGGCAGAATCATTATGATGCTGAGAGCTGACATCGTCCCCAAGACTGCGGAGAACTTCAGAGCTCTGTGCACACACGAGAAAGGCTTTGGCTACCAGGGGAGCTGTTTTCACAGGATCATACCTGATTTTGTATCCTTTTTTATTAATATTGTTTTTCATGCAATACTTAGAATGTAGTTTGGTTATAGGTAAATCTGTCTATGTAGACAGGTTTTTTTTGTAACTTTGTCTTCTCTTTGCATTTCAATATAGTTTATAATATGCTATGATTATAGTAGCTTTGGGATAAAAAATACTTAAAGCTACTTTGTATCCAAATTGTAATTTCTAGAAACCAGATAATTCAATGCAACACCTTACTTAGTTCAAGTGTTAATCTATACTAATATTATGAAGAGGAAAGATTTGATTCATTTGCTTGCATTGTATAGGAAACTACTTGACCTATTTGGAAAATTGTTTCACTGCTGGCAAGCTATACTATCCCCGTTAAACGGCTATAAACAATGCGAGTGCAACCGTGGGGTACGGCTATTTATAGTAAGCTATTATAAATAGCTGTACCCCATGGTTATAATCAGCTGATTATTTAGTAAAATAAGGTAAATAATAGGTCTTTACTTATGAAATTGCCGTTCTGCAGTACTGGCCGGTTTTTGTTAGTTAGCCTAACAAAAACTAATATTTTTTATCAATTAGGCTAACTAACAAAAACTAATTAAGGCTAATTAATTTTGTTTTAAAAACATGGGATTCTTTTTCCAAAAGTAGTCATTTGTTTACTGATTAGTGTTACATTTTCATCGCATTTCAAATAAAAAAAATCATTTAAATTGTTTCATGTAAAACAGCAATTTCATAGGTAGACCTATTATTATTTAGGACATATATAATTACCAGTACCATATTCAAATTTGACAATGAGAATTGGGCCTTTAGCACAAAAATATAAAGTATTTATTTCTTTACCGAATTCTTATACAATGCAAAATTATCCTTAACTAACTACCGCTAGATGTGTCAAGGTGGAGACTTTACGAATCACAATGGGACGGGCGGCAAGTCTATATATGGGAGGAAGTTTGACGACGAAAACTTTACATTACGGCACACGGGGCCCGGTATACTGAGTATGGCGAACTCAGGACCTAACACCAACGGATCACAGTTCTTTTTATGTACTACCAAGTATGTATTTCTTAATATTTTATATTTTTTGGTAGATTTAATAATATTGTTGAGAACAGCGCCATCTAGTTGCTGAATATGATAGATACAATGCATGAAAGGGCTCTAGAGGTTTATTCTTGAATTTTCTAAAAAAAAAATGTGCTGCATTTTCGGTATAGTAGATATCTAATATACTTTCGATATTAGATATCTAGTTGAACCATGATCATTGTTTTAACAATAACAACAAAATAAATAATAAATTATTGTGATGTGTATTATGATCTTGTAGATAGTGCCATCTCTGTTGGAAATCAAGCACTAAAATTATTAAAAAAATATTGTTTTATTTGAGTAGGTATTATATTTAAAAAATGTGTTTTGTTTTTCAGGACAGACTGGCTGGATGGAAAACACGTGGTATTTGGACACGTAATATCAGGCTTGGATGTTGTTAAGAAAATGGAGAAGTATGGCAGTATGACCGGGGCAGTATCCAGCAAGATCACTATAAGTAATTGTGGGGAATTACAATGATAATAATTATAACTTAATCTGGTTGTTTTATTTCTACGTTAGGTATGAAAATAAAATAAATATAAATTGACATGTGGATTCCGAATATTTAGATAATAACTTTTTATTACTAGACACGCAATTACTTTGATAAAACCAACAAACATGTGAATGAAACCTTCATAAATAAAAAAAATAAATATTATACTGTTGTCACGGGTCTTGTAAACATGCTCGTTTCGTTGATCATGTCATGGTGGTTGAGAGACTTTCTAATTAATAAGAAAATTGTCTCTGGTCTGATTCCGAAACCAGGTTAAGGTTTCGGAATAAGGCGCTTTATCGGTTTTTTTATGTTTCTTTTAATACCGATTTCTTCAATGTGGTGACTCCCTATAACAAAATGTGAGTTTTACACTTTAGGCTCTCCTATTAATATCTGCGAGGTAAAAATCTACATTAGTAGTAGTACATTAAGCATCAGTTTCACAATTTACCAATACGTGGCACGATACGACGTATCATAGAACAAGTCAACAGTTATTTAAACTTCTGAACCTACTCTAACAATAATGTCTCTACTGCGGGCTCGGATTGGAGCACAAGAAGAGAGGGTGTGGTTTTTGGTCTGTAAGGACCTAACCCTCCCTCTTCCCCACCCAGGTAGAAGTAATGGATGACCGATTTACCTAAATGCTACTTTTTGCTTAAGTATACGCAATAAGTTAGTATATCAAGAGAATTTTATGTTTTCTTAAAATCCTAAATTAAATTCTTATGTGATATCTACATTCGCAGACGGATAACCTGATGGTAAGCAAGCGGTACCGCTCATGGACACCCGCCACGGCAGAATACCTACATAGTTGCGCCAGAGGTTTTGGGGATTAATGGATTGAGTAGGAAGGGAGGAAGGGGAATGTTTGGGCGTCAGGTAACGGCGAAACAGAACTCTGTGGTGGTTTCACACGGTTTTCTGTGTAGGTTTCACTCTGGTCGAACAGGCCCATTCGTGGCGAAGCATGGCTCTCCTGCACAAATGAAATTGATGTAAGGTTATTTCGAAAATGTGCGTAATTAAACCTCGATTATTTACATAATTATCTTTAGATATTTTGATTATTAATTACTACGTTTCACTGCAATCGGTTCAGTAAGTTATCATGATTTTTGACAGTAGAGGACTGACGGACTAACATAACTATGTATTAAAATATTTTATTTGACTTAGGTTCAAAAGTAGGTATGAAGGGTCATTAAAAGTATATATAATATTATAAACACTATAGAATCTGTAGGTACTTATGTATGTAAATTATTATAAAGTTTGTTTGTTTGAACGCATTATTCTTCGGTACTAGTTACTATTGCGAATCGCACAATTATTATGTGTTTGTTAGTTCATTTGTTTGTTCATTTCACTATAAAACATCACGATACAATCTGTCGAGCAGCGGGTGAAACCGAGCGTGACCAGCTAGTGTTAGGCGTTCGCGTTAGCGAGAAGTGCCACTGGTTCCGTGACAGTCTTATTGAACACAATAAATTGTATCTATAAGTCTCCATTTTTTGTTTTACTAATCAACACACCTAAAAGTACCTGTTGGTCTAATTGAAATAGGTAAACGTTTTAAAAATAAAAATTGTAGGTATTTGATTAAAGCCGAGTAGTGAAAACGCTTCGCTCTTAACTTAGGTACCTAAAACTAACTTCACTGGGCGTGTCAAGTTCCTCATCATCATCAGCCTATAAGTGCCCAATGCTGAGCAAAGGCCTCTTCTCACACGGAGAAGGTTTGAGCATTAATCACCACGCTTGCTCAATGCGGGTTGGCGATTTCAAACTTACAATTAGAAATTATAAGTCCAGGTTTCCTCACGATGTTTACCTTCACCGTATGTCAGTGGTGTCTAAATAATCATAGAAAGTACATATAACTCGGAAAAAGTCACATTGGTACTTGCCAGGTTTCGAACCCACACTCTCATGCATGAGAAGCGGGCTCCTTAACCTCCAGGCCACCACGACACATCAAGTCAAGTTCCTACTTATTCAAAATACCAAATCGATTATAACAAACACCCTCCTATTTATTAATAAATAAATTTTACTCAATGTAAACATGACGCACCCACATGAAACCTACGTTGATTGCCGCGTCAAATTAATTCATAAATTATTCATAAGTCTGTAAGTATGGACATAGGTACCTATCATGGTTATTGGAATATTATTATTTTCCAATTTATTAAAATGTTTTTTCATTTACTGCTTCGTCGGTTGAATGGTCAACAGTCGAAGTAGTACCTACCTACCTAGCCGGATACCTATGTAGGGTAGGTACCTAAGTACTTAGAGTAACTATCGTCAGACATTAAAGTCTATTGAAAACTAGTGGCCAACCCCTGCTTCGCACGGGTAGGTATCTAAATATTATCCCAGTTTAAGATACTGCGGCCTCTAATCTCGTGGTGGCCCGAGGTTAAGGAGCCCGCTTCTCATGCATGAGGGTGTGGGTTTCGGAACCTGGCAAGTACCAATGTGACTTTTCCGAGTTATATGTACTTTCTATTATTATTTAGACACCACTGACATACCTACCTACGGTGAAGGAAAACATCGTGAGGAAACTTGGACTTATAATTTCTAATTATAGGTAAGTTTGAAATCACCAACGCGCATTGAGCAAGCGTGGCGATTGATGCTCTAACCTTCTCCGTATGAGAAGAAGCCTTTGCTCAGCAGTGGGTACTTATAGACTGATGATGATGATGATGAAGATACTGCGAGCTCGGCCTAGACCAGGAGAAGGAACGGGCACGTTTTAAGTCAGTAAGAGTCTGACACTACTCGCCTTGCCCTGGGCGAGAGAATTTTCCCCTCACAAAAAAAAAACAATTTTGCCGCTTCATAGTTTCAGATATGAAAATATTTTGGTTAAGTTATGGGCTTACTGACACTATTTCCGATTTATTTTTATATAGGAAACGAGTTACATAAATTACCTAAATGAATGTTATTCGGCGCTGCTCATTAATAAGAGTCTTGTTGTGACTTAAAACAAAGCAAGCAGCTATACTAGCACCTTTTCTCCCCTTCAAACAAAGTATGCATAATATGTAGGTACATAAACGTTTGACTGAAATGCACGTCAGATATCTATCTAGCTCTGCTTCTGATTATCATACAAACTATACCTAGGTACATATAAACAAACAAATTAAGCTTCGTTTACAATACTGAGTATTCATGGATACTTGTAAATTCACCTTCAAACCGAAGGCTATGTTTATCCAGCAATATATTTGTCTGCAAGTCGCATCGTTCATTTCCATAATGCATCGCCAAGCTTAGCCTCTGAGCTGCGATACGTTGAAGGTTTGTACCAAGGAGCTCATTCTCAAGGAATTTCACAATTTATACTTATGTCAAATATCATAAATGTGAATTTGCATAAGACCTTGTTTTAGGACTTAGGTGTTTGTGTATGTATGTTATACAGATAGCTTAGTTAGAGTCTTCTTTCAAATTCACCAAAACAAAATAATAATTTGAAAAAGTTCAAATTTGGGTGTGTCAGCTCTCTAGTAAAGACATTTGCTCGTTCCAAAGTGTAGGTTCCTATGAAGAAGAACGAGCAAGAAACTCCATGGTTAGATATTCTTTTTTTAAATCAGTTTCAGATGTAATTTCTTTTTACGTCATTTAGTCGGTAATGTTATGTAAGAACAATGTAAGTAGGTAATACTATATTAATAGCCAAGGAATCCGAAAAAAATAACCTCAAGGACAAATATTTTAAAAGCGATTTGGCAGGTATGTCTTATCGGTATGTACTTTATTTTAGCGTCTCTCTCGCAGCTAAAGAATAAAAACCGGAATCTCATTACTAAGACTTTGTTGTTCGTCTGTCTGTCTGTCATCACTCTGTACCTACCTAATGAATCGTCATAGCTAGACTTCAACTTGAAGATTAGATAGGTGATTTATGTGGCCGTTGAAGCAACAATTATTAAAAACAAATTAAAACGAATAGGTACTTATGAGGTATCTCATTTCAAATCTTGCTTTCCTTTGGTTTGAAACGATTTCATTTATATTATCTACATTTGATTAAGTTTCTTAGTAATAAACTCAAAACTGTGCATACACTACTGACTAGGAATGTTACCATAAAAAATATTTTAAACGCCTTTCTTTGTATAAAGTTACTAGCAGTTAAAATTCATAAAGTTACAAACTATTAAATTAGTAAGGGTTTAGGTACATAAAAGGTCTCAAAGTTTCTACTTAATTAAAATATTGGGTAAAAATTGATTTTGGAAAATTAAATTGTTCTTAGCCACTATAGGTAAATACTTGCGAATCGTGAAGCCTGTTGTTTGGCGAAGGTGTAAATAGAGATATTATTATGTTGTGAAGTTTCAGTGAGGGGTCAAGGGCTTTTGTTTTATGTGATAGGTCAGAAAACGAGCGAACGGATTACCTGATGGAAAGCAATTAGCTCCGCCCATGGACACACGCAACAATGGAGGAGTTATGAGTGCGTTGTGAGCAACGGATTTGGAGCCTTTTTGGATTTGGAGATTTTGGAGCTGGATTGAGGGAGGGGAAGGATTGGGCCTCCGGTAAACTCACTCACACGGCGAAACACAACTATGTGGTTGTTTCATGCCGGTTTTCTGTGAGGCCGTAGTATCAGTCAGGTCGAACCGACCCAGTTGTGCCGAAGCTTTGCTCTCCGACACTTTTTTTTTTTTTTTTTTTTGTCAGGGGAAAATCATCCAATGACTTCTCCCGCCCAGGGTAAGGCGAGAGAGAGTGTCAGACTCTTACTGACTAAAAAACCCCCCCGTTCCTTCTCCTGCTCTGGGCCGAGGTCGCGGTGCCTCAGCTCTCCGACACTTATATAGCTATTACCTATCAAGAATTTTAAACGGTAAGTTTATTCTATTACTAACCCTTACTGGGTGAGCCTCCTGAAACCCTCACTCGTTGTGTTCTGTCAGTAATCTGTTCTATATACAAAAATATTAATAAGCGTGTAACTCAATAACGCGTCTGCCAATTCCGCCAATACTTTTTTGTAGTGTTTGTTGGATTTCCTATTACAGAAATCTTTTTATTTAAATAACGACCATTTCGTCCTTATATTAAGGTTGGAATTCCGTACGAAGCGGGGACGGGCCGCTAGTTTTATATTACTTACAGAGTACTTGTAACTAGTCAAGTTCAATACTTTTTTCGAAACGTTATGACGACATTTTTCTATGTATCAAATGGCAAATTGTGACGTTGTAACTTTTTCGTCAAATAGTGTAGGTACTTACTTTAATATGAATATAAAAGAAATTAAAATACGAGTACCTACACCTACATTGTAAAATTAATTAAAGAACTTGTAATTATTTTTGATCATTTTTATGATTTTGTGAGCTGAAATAATTTATTTTTTTGACCGCGGAAACTACCTAATAAAATCATATTAATTTGAAATTCGAAAATATAGTTAACAATCAATCCAGCAGACAGCATTTTAACAAGGAGGTCAGACTACCGATATAAAAACTTTGTACAATATTACTTTTCTAGATGATTATAATATTTCCCAAAACATATTTCGATGAGTAAACAATTTTACTTATGAATAGTTTATCGAAATCACTAAAACCACAACAGTGCTTGACATTGTGGCATATTCAATGTTTTCAATGAAAACGCTTTTCCCGCGCTCGAGCTGTCACAGCGACAATGCGTTCCACCATGTTTGTTTACGTTGGCGTTTAAATATTCACACTGTGGAGTTCGGGTCTGTAAACATTTTACATTTGGATGGCAGTCTTTTACGCTTTTAGGTTCAAAGTGGTGATTTTACTAAATCTTTCTTTTTGAGTTGGTGTTTTTTTATTTAATTTAGCAGCTTATTTAAGCAGAAATATTGTTTCAGATTTCACTAAAGCTAACTGATTCTTGTAAATTTGACACTTACATAGTTCTAAATTCAAATGTAGGTAAGCATTTTTAAACAATGTTTTTTTTTATTTTATTTATTAGTCATGCATGGAGTATATCAGTTCTATAATTGCTTATAGATCTATGGAACTATGGGGTATTTTTAATAACCGTCACAACTTTAAGAATTAATATGGCTTCTAAACTGTTCTTAAAGACAATGAACATGGAAAACAGAAGGTTTAATAAGCGAGAGATGTGCGGGTTCCACGGGACGGTCCGTGGGACATTGCTCTGTAGTCGAGTGATGGGATTATTGCCTCTCAGTGGGCTTACTTGTCCCACTAGCCATAAGCTGAGGTAAGGATAATTAGATACTTTATTATGTGCTTTATAAGGTCTAGTTTAGTACGGTGTCTTATTCAGTACGTTTTCTGATGAGTCATCATCATCGTCGGAGTTCCAATAATTTGTAAACATGGTGTTAGCGGTAGTTTAAGGCTAAGAACTCACGGAGCGATTTTCGCCCGCGTCCGCTGCGGTTGCGGGCCCGCAGCTTCTGTAGAATTCAAATATTTATATAAAAAATTAAAGCACATTTCACGACGCGTTTTACGCCCGCGGTGTACGCGGTTGTATGCGGCTCCCGCTGTACCGGCGGGCAACTAGTAGAATCGCGCGGGCCGCGGTTACCCGCAGTCTCGGCGGGTGGCACCCGCGCGCTTTGCGATCGGTTGGCGAGCGACCGCGGGGGCCGGCGGGTCTTCTGTGAAGTAAATATAACGCAACGGCTCGTTTCTAGTGTGTGTCCATGGCGGTCTGGACCTCAACTGATCTTTAACCGCCCGTCTTGCAATCTTGCGATCATCGCCCGCCACGTTTGCGGGCGATGATCGCAACCGCGGCGGCTGTGTAACCGCGCAAATAACCCGTCTCGTGAGTTTGGAAATAAAACCGCAGTTCCGCTACCGCGGCGGGCACGGTTCAAAATCGCTCCGTGAGTTCTTAGCCTAAAATGTAATTTGGATCGAATCTACAACCTGACAATAGCCAGTGAGCACAAGTCACACAAAATAACGCTTAGAATTTTGAAAAAATCTAAGAATATTTAAAGGTTTATTAAAAAAACGACTTACGTGGAAGAACTGAGAAAAGCTCTATTAGTTTCAAGTCACACCAGGACTCTTATTCGTGAGCAGCCAATTGTTACTATATTCATAAATATCCATGGACATTATAAGAATTTGTAACCTCGTGTTTGACTGTCGCATTTACGACTACTATACTAACGAAATCCCCATCTTCTATTACTACCATTTCATTCATTAAACATTCTATGTTTACATATATAAATTAAGTTTCAATTCAAAGCCTCATTTCACCTATTCACCTAAATGTCTCATGTAAAGCCTGCGGTACGCATAGGCCCAAAGTATTGGGCCATCCTATTGGCCCAAGATGTAGAGGGCTACTTGGCGGTATGTTGGTAGTGGCGTACCAAAATCCTTCAATATGTGGACAAAAACTGACAACATTCGGTTTGCTCGCCAATATTGGCGCCAACCGGAATATCGCTACCAACATATCGCCAAGAAGCCCTTTACACCTTGGGCCAATATGTTGGCCCAATACCTTCGGCCAACGTGTACTGCGGGCTTGAGATATTAACACAAAACGATAACACAGTCGAAGACGTACGAGTTTAATAATGCTAGCGGCGAAGTGTCGCCATCTAGCGGATTTACTATAAGTTGCCATGCGTCTCTGTATGAGCCTTGAGCACCTGTGAAGCGTCTAATTACGTCTAATGAATGACTAGTTGTGACTCACGAGTTTGCTCGAAACTTTTTTCTATTAATCTTCGTGTACTTCCATGTGTGTCTTTAGAATTTCGTTCTGAAAATTCACATTTTTATTTTTTGAAGGGGGAAAGTATTTTCTGGCTTTCTTCGGCACCACTCGGTTTCTTCATCTTCTCCGAGTCAGCCCACGGTACATTTATAGTGCCCGCATCAACAACTCCCATTGGATTTCGGTCCTCTAGACCTAGTATTAAAGTAACATCTATTTTTCTATTTTTAAATTTGTATAAATATGTATAGTTATTATTTCATCAGGCCGATTTGATAGTCAATTCCACATAGTACTTTGTTCTTACTCCGCTGTCAATTCCGTGAAATTCAATGTAGAATATCGCTTCAATTTATAACTATTTAATAACGATATTCCTTTTTTACTAAATAATATAAAAAATAAACATGTTCAAATTTAGAACATCATGTTTAGGTTGTTTATTTGTCGTGTAAAAGTTTTGTTTTATGGCCAATTTATAAAAAAAAAAAAAGAAATTCATTGTTACATAAAAAAAAATCGAAGACCATTTTATTCCTAGATTTAAATAGTAAATACCAGCCTGTATTAGCAGGGATAAAATAAATTAAGAATGAATGAGGGTAGGAGGAGGTAACAGCACATGGTAATCTAGTTAGTTTGATGTAAATCAGATTTGGATAGCTCTTAGAGCATTTTGTGAGGTACTCAGCAGTATAATGTAGGTGTAAAACCTTTGTGGTTACGCTCAGCTTAGGATTACGAAAGGATTTTAAACTCTAGATAGAAATTTCAATACAATGTGTTCTAATACCTTTTTCGTATCTGTATATGTTAGTTAATTGAAAATGGTTTTGATAGTATCCTTTCGAGAATTTAATTTAGCTGAAGAGTTTTTTATACTATTTTTACTAAGAATTTTTAATAGTAACTATCGTGAGACATTTTACCGACTTACTCACCTGAATGAACTGCAAAAAAGCTCTACTAGTTTCAAGTTAGAACGGGGCTCTTGTTCATGATCAGGGTACACCTTGCGGCGGCGACGTGCAGCCAACTGTTGACTAATTCAGATTTTTTTTATTTGTTTAAATTTAATAATCTCGCGTCCTCAAGCCCATGGTGCGGAACAAGAGGAATTGGGATGCTGTATCCTCTTTCTACCTGAACCTGTTATGCTTCTAAAGAAGGAGGCGGATCATGTAATCAAACTATCCTCTTCAAGCTTTAGCCAAGTAGCAGACATTCCAGTGGTTTTTAGTCAGAACAAAGAGTCTGATAATCCCTCTCGCTGAGAGAGGTTATGTGACTATTTTCCCCCATCAAAAAATAAAATAATATAAAAATAATTGAAATTGTTTACATAAGCCCACAAATCTATAGGTTATAAAGACATAAGTTCTATGTTGTCAGAAGTCCATAGGCCATAGGCCAATACAGAACTCTTTGCTACAACACGATAACTTAACAAAAAAAAAAAAAAAAACAAATATAACCGATTCTCATTCATTCATAAAAAATATCAGACATACTTTCAAGCAAAATTGGTATGTTCAATATAAGTAATGTATGTCGTTAAGGTTGTTATTACTTTACAGGTTTACGTTTCGCTCTCCGTACACGGTGTTCTACGCGATCAGTCTCTTTGGGCAGGTATTGATGTTTATCATGAATTTCTGTTGGGTTGTGCTCAACGGCATCTCCTTGGCAAATATGAGTAAGTTGATAATAAACTTGTTTTTTTTAATATTTACTTTAAAACTAGGAGGTTACAGTAGGTTCCTTTGTCTAACTTCAATGTCGAAGAATACTTTAAAACAAAATTCAAAGTCAAATATTTAGTTGCATGTTAAGATACAGGCCTGAGAATTATTATAATTATCACTACCTAACGCATAACATACTTGATACAGGAATGTTACCTACTTATTATACAGAAATATGGCAAAGGAAAGCATAGTGGCGAAATCAGGATATATTTAATTTGTAACAAGTAATTTTATAAGTTTGAAATCTCAATTTTTCCAAGTCTAATCACCAGTTTTGAGCAAGAATGGTGATTAGAGCACAAACCATCTTTCTCGACGTAAGAAGACGCCGTTTGTTCAGAACTGGTTACTTACAGGGTGGTGATGATAATGATGATGAAATAAAAGCAGATTCATCACCATATTTTAGGAAAACTTTTTGTCAAATAATTGAAGCACAATTTAAACCTTTTGGAGAGTGCAGAAAGTCCAATAATTTTCTAAATACCATGACAACTCGAGTTGCTTAAATTTACTAATAATTCTTTACAATCATTACGTTTGGTACAACCTAGAGCTCAGTTCGGCTATAAGGATCGGGCTTAAAAAATGATTTTTTTTTATTTAATTAATATTTTTATTACAGCTAATTCAATATTCAACACGTCCAGTCTAGTATCAGTCTTGATACTGATGCATATTGGTCGTTCGTGGCCTACTCTAGTAGCAAAGGTGGAGGCTCTCGAATGCAAGCTGCCTCCGTTTACCAGAAATGTTGGAGCCATGAGTAATATTACCAGTATATTTATTTTCACTGCTGCTGTTGGTAAGTGTGTATGTGTTTAATGATTGATGAGCTTGTACCGGCGGAATTACCCAACCGGGGTTGCGGGTTAAGCGCAACATTGAACCACTGTCCCATCCTGGAGCCGTAGAAACAGCGGGGTGATTTTTAGTCAGTCAGAGTCTGAACCTAGAGCGAGAGAAACGTTTGATGATATTCCATGATCTTGACATTTTTTTGCAAGTAGTGATCGAGGATATCAATGAAACAATGAAACAATGAAACAATGAATTTATTTTTGCAAATAGGCCATAAAACGGCACTTTTACACGTCAATTTATATGTGAAAAACTAGATGAAGCCGGCATTTCCTATCTGACTACTCTGAGAAGAAATGCCGAAACAAACTCAGAGGTCAGTCTCTTTTCAAGTCCAGACAATGTAAAAATAACATAATGTGAGAGAATCGTGCAAGTTCATTCTGTAGTGGTCTTTTGAGGAAAGAACCACACCAGTTTAAGTGGACCCGTTCTGAAGACAGGCACGCAAGTGTCAGTTTGCAACCAGTATAGCTAGCGCTGCTGAGTTGTCCGACGAACAATACCGATCTAAAGAACATTTGGGTGGGTCGCGCAAGTACTCAAACTGTCAGAACGCAGATAACTGGTAATCAAAAAGCACGGCAAGTCTCACACGGTCCTTACACTAACAATAATATAAAATAATAAAAATGTCAATAAATAAATAAAAAAAAATGTCAAATAAAAAATAAAATGTCACAATAGGTGATTATGTCATTGTATAAAAAATAAAAAAAAAATAAACGTAATGTCAAATTGTATATAAAATTGTAACTTATGTTACAAACATGTCAACATGACCTGTGCAGACATTACAGCGGCTCATTCCCATGCCTGACTATCCTCTAAGTAGTCTTTTATTTTATAAAATGCTTTACAGCAAAGTTTAGCCTTTATTACACTTTTAAATTTATTGAGGCTCAAATTTTGAATATCGCTAAGAATTTTATTGTAAAAGCGTATACATTGACATCTAAACGAACTAGTTATTTTCTGAAGCCTGGAGGCAGGGACAACATATTTGTTTTTCCCCCTCGTGTTAATATTATGTATATCACTATGCTTCTTAAATAAGCTTTTGTTTTTATGAGCGTGAATTACATTTTCATAAATATATTGTGAGGCAACCGTCATTATCTTAGTTTCCTTAAATAATTCTCTGAGCGAATGCCTCGGACTAAGATTATAGATTGATCGAATAGCCCTTTTCTGCAGAACAAAAATAGACTGAATGTCAGCAGCATTCCCCCACAACAAAATACCGTATGACATGATGCTGTGGAAATAACTAAAATAAACTAACCGCGCTGTATCTACATCTGTTAAATTTCTAATTTTTTTAACGGCATATGCTGCAGAACTGAGCTTCTTCGACAAGCCATCTATATGAGGGCCCCACTGGAGCTTAGCGTCCAGGGTTATACCTAAAAAGACAGTTGTATCTACAGGACTCAACTCCTCGCCCTTGACAAGCACACTGGTTTTTACCTGTTTAACATTTGGTGTTGTGAATTTAATACATTTAGTTTTAGTTTCGTTTAGTAATAAGTTATTAACACCAAACCAGTGAACTATTTCTGAGAGAGCACTGTTTACATTGTCAATAACTAATTGTCGTCGTCTGAGTTTGAATAATAGTGAGATACCTCACTATTATTCAAACTCAGACGACGACAGCAAACAGCACTATCTCGTGTTTATCCCTTACAAGGTAAGGCAAGTCATTAATATAGATAAGAAATAAAAACGGGCCGAGAATAGAACCCTGCGGAACACCCATCTTCACAACAGACCCGGCAGAAACCACTCCGTTTACTTCAACTCTCTGAACCCTATTACTCAGGTATGAGGTAAGAAGGTCCAGAGATGCACCTCTTATTCCGTAATGGGATAGCTTCCTGATCAGTGTATCATGAAGCACACAATCGAACGCCTTGGATAAATCACAAAATATTCCCAAAGCGTCGCTTGAGTCCTCCCACGCGTCGTAAATGTGATTAAGAAGTTCAACACCGGCATCAGTTGTTGAACGACCCCTTGTAAATCCGAACTGTTTCGCATGTAATAATTTATTTCTATTAAAAAATCTTTGCATTTGATCTAAAATAATTTTTTCAAAAATTTTACTGAACGTAGGTAGCACTGAAATAGGTCTAAAGTTAGTGGGGTCAGAAGTACTACCTGATTTAAATAATGGAATTATTTTACTACATTTCATAAGATCAGGAAACACACCACAGTCAATACAGTTATTAAAGATTTGAGCTAATACAGGTGCTACAATAGTTATTACAGAGCTTGTAATATACACAGAATTGCCCCATAGATCTGCAGTCTTTTTGTTATTCAAAGTATTAAAGATTTTAACAATTTCCTTGTTATCTATGTGCTCGAAGGAAAACCCTGAATCGCAAGCTACAACATGTTTTTTGAGTAAAGACTCTGCAACAGCGGGAGATGAATTCAGTGACTTAGTAGTGGATACAGGAATGTCGGAAAAGAAATTTTCAAAAGCAGTTGCAATTTCTACATCCGCTTTTATTAACTTATTATCAATTACAAGACTATGTTGATTTATTCTCTTTTTAGACCTTCCTGCCTCACTGTTGATAATATTCCAAGTGTCTTTGATAACATTGGTACTGTTCTTTATCTTAGAGCTTAAGAATAATGATTTAGCAATAGAGCAAACCTTTTTGAATAATTTAGAATAGTTTTTTACATATTCACTGAATTCAACAGTGTTAATATATGTCCGCTCATTATAAAGCTCATAGAGGCGCTTTCTACTCTTATAGATACCAGTGGTTGCCCAATCACCGAAAGACGCATTGCTATTAGCTGGTATAGTTTTATCTGAAAAAGTAGACTTAAACTCTGTTAGGTACATTTTAAAAAACTTATCATATAAAGTGCTAGAATTCTTATAATTCAACAACAAAGGCAATTTGTTGCTGAGTTTAGCTTTGAAAAATTCAATGCGTCTTTTAGTCTTCGGATTAACTGTGATAAATTGTTTTGATACTATATTTATTTCTTTTGTTAAAGAAATTAACTGACCACAGTGATCGGAATCAAGTACTGAAATTATTTCTTTGTTAACTGGCACAATGTCAGTATAAATATTGTCCAGGCAAGTGGCACTAGTGGGTGTTATCCTAGTTGGCTCCAGAAACAAATTCGCAAGGTTGTATGAAGAAAATAAACTTACAATTTTTGTGCTTAAACTACATTTTTCTAATAAATTTATATTAAAATCACCACATCGATGTAGAAAAAACAGTTTCATAACAAAATTATGTACTTAAAACCATTATTGAAAGATAACTTTGTAAAAAATCATTTTAAGAGGGATAACAATCGATTGTTATCCCTCTTAAAATGATTTTTTAAATGATGATGCCTCTTGCCCTTAGTATGCGAGGGAGAGTTTAAAGTCTTTGTGACTAGACTAGATCACTCCGTTCTAACTTTTGCTCCGAGCCGGTCCACAGTGTATCATTGCATGTGACCCTCTATCATGGCCGTAGAGACTAAACACAAACACACGTGAAAAAAAAATATGCGCACACACACATGTTTTATTTTGTTATATGTAGTTATTGTTTCTTTTAAAAAGTATTTATGCATAATGTATCATTATTGTAACCTTGATGACCCTGTTTCCCGAATCCAAGATTATTGTACTCATATTATGTTTGAAGTATGTCCTGAATACCGTTATAACTGATCACTCCACAATAAAATATAAATGAATAAAAGTGAATAAAACAGTATAAACATTAAACTAGACTATATGCTATCAAACATTAACAATGTACACATATGAAGCAGCATACCTACATAGGTATACATACGAAGCACTAGATATAATAACACAAAATATGATTAAACTAAACCAAATATAATTAAACCCTGGAATGTACACGTAGCGTACTCTTTGATTTCCACATGTATCATCCATTTAATTAGATCTACGTGGAGGTAGCACCTGTGCTTACCACGACACATTCTGCGGGAAACGTCATAATGAGTTTTCATTGCTCTTGTATTTCTAGAACATAATTATTAAGTAGATACATACATTGGTGGAGGCAAGATATTAAACTGAATTTTAGGCCTAAAAGACAGCGTCACAAAAATAATACAGTGTATTTTTTATCAATGTGTAAGAAAAAGTATTTTTCCTTTGAGAACTTTTTCAATCAGTTTTTTAAAGCCTCTTTACAATTTCACTGAATCATAATTTTCCATCTACCTAAACAATCACAAAAAATAGTAATAGCCTAACGCATATTTCAACGCTACACGTATTACTACGCCGTAGCAAACAGCTCCGGCGCTACGAAATTGCGTAGCGTTTTCATTTTGCTTTTGTAGGCTTATATAAAGCTGTTTGAATGCTTTATTTTGTTGGGGTTACTATAATACTTATCTTTATAGCCGTAAGGTATATTTTTATATAATATTTTGTTGTAGTGGAACATCTTTTGTCGATATACTATGGATTAAAAGTGGCGTGTGCCTGCGATATTAATAATGTTGGTGAGAGCTATTTTCGCTTCAGCATGCCTTGGATCTTTGATTATACACCCTATGCAGCTTGGAAAGGAGCTCTTATTGAGGTAAATCTATTGATTTTTAATAAGATAAAGATAGTGGGCTGGTGATCTAGGCAAACGTAGTGTAGGGCGCCCTCCAGCTAGGTGGACCAGGCAGTGGTTGGATGAGAAGAGCTGAACATCAAGCATGCAATTGGGGAGGCCTATGTCCAGCAGTGGACGATAACGGGCTGATGATGATGATAATGATGATGATGATGATGAGTGGGATGACAGATTTTAAAAATAAAACGTTTAGTAGACCGGGTCTAGAACGAAAAATTGCGTCTAGGTAAATGTCGTGTAGTACAATTGGTTGACGATGGTAAGCTTTACGTAAAAGAGTTGATTATTCGGTAGTTTGGTACAACCAGTATTTCAGTGAGGCCATACATTAGTAATACGGTTTTATCATAGTTCAAAAATAATATAGATACATTTATAAATACAAAACAATCTGCAAAGTGCCCACACAGTAACTTACACACGAGCAAATTTTAAATTACGACTCAAATACTGGACTCATAATAAAAATATCAAATTTTATGGAAGGCATACGAGGTTTATTGTTCGCCGGTGTCGTGTCATTTTGATATCGGTATTCGAGTGAGGTCAGAAAAATAGGACGCGGTCTGGTTGCAATGGCGCCGTGCGATATACGATCGTGTTTGGGCCACGGAAACCGGATAAAAACCAGAGTTCATTAAGACTTGTAACTTCACATCATCAGTGTATTGCTCCTTGCTAGGCAAAGATGGTGATATGATGATGATGACTCACTGCATATATATCATATGCAAGGCTTGCCCTGAAATAAATAAAAAAATATAAGACAAGTTTTCCTTATGTTAATATCTTCCACCATTTGCCAATAGTGATTACATAAATTTAGAAAGTAATACTTGGAAACAGTCAAATTTCTAAAAGTTAAAAATTTCTTTTAATGGCATAAGCTCACTGCTAGGCAAAAACCTCTTTTCATAAGGAGAAGGTTTTAGCATTAACGATGATGATAATATGATGATATCGTGGCTCACTGGACACGGTCTATAACATTTTGGATCTTGTAATTTGATTTGAAATAAATGTAGGTACTGCTACTTGTCCTGAACCCTGTGGTCGCCCTTACGCGTGACAACTGTGGGAACGCGTAACTAGGCTTTAATATTAATCATACCCTTCAACACACCGCAAGATTATTGAATGAATAGTTAATTACTAATCATAGCGCGGTAAATAGGATATATAGGTATAATCCTAATAGCCGTGTCCCCCGCAAGTAGCCTATTCTCAGAAATCGGGGATGGTGCAGAATTTTTCAAATACGTCCCATTCAATATTTGTCATAGTGGTTTCGGGGCCCTTTCAATCCAAACAAACAATCAGGCAAATCTATTATTTTTATAATATTAGTCTAGACTTGTGTCGTGGTGGCCCGGAGGTTAAGGAGCCCGCTTCTCATGCATGAGGGTGTGGGTTCGAAACCTGGCAAGTACCAATGTGACTTTTTCCGAGTTATATGTACTTTCTATGATTATTTAGACACCACAGACATACGGTGAAGGTAAACATCGTGAGGAAACCTGGACTTATAATTTCTAATTATAAGTTTGAAATCGACAACCCGCATTGCGCAAGCGTGGTGATTAATGCTCAACCTTCTCCGTGTGAGAAGAGGCCTTTGCTCAGCAGTGGGCTCTTATGGGCTGATGACGATGATGATGAGTCTAGACTTAGAAACATCATGTTTAGGGGATATTTTCACAAATAATACTCAAGAGTTTTTTCCAGATTTTCAACATCCAGTCTACATTTGTTTGGAGTTACAACGACTTACTGATTATGATCATAAGTATATACTTGACGGAACATTTGTTAGTACACAATGAGCTGCTGAAGAAAGCCGTGGAGCAGGTAATGTGCTAATAATAATGATATTGTTAGAAAGTTTTAAGTGTGGGAGACCCAAGCTTCGGCACGAATGGGTCGGCTCGACCGGAGTAATACCACGGCCTTACAGAATACCGGCGTGAAACAACCCAGCGTCGTATTTCGCCGTGTGAGTGAGCTTACCGGAGGCCCAATCCCTCCCCTTACCTATTCCTTCCCGATCCTTTTATACGCAACCCGAAATGCCGGCAACGCACTCGTACCTCATTTGGTGTTGCGGGTGTCCATGGGCGGCGCCGATTGGTTACCATCAGGTAATCCGTCTGCTCGTTTGCCGACTTAAACAATAACAAAAAAAGATTGTTTCAAGTCACTGAGAGTTGTTCAAGTGGTTGCAAGTACAACTATTCGTACTTATATAGAATAAGTTTTTTTTATGTAATAGAACGGTATTGTTTACCTAGAGGTACAAGAAAGTATTACTTTGCTGCCTGCAACTTACTTTTACGATAAAGTAATCGAAATGTTACGTTTAACCCTCTGATTGGTTCATTAACTTCTAGTTTGCCAATCAAAAAGCTGATATCATAAAAGTTTGAATCCTGTTAACATCAAGAAATTGTTGTGCCGGGTCTGTGTATATTGTGCAAGTGAAGTTGATTAGTTGTAAACGCACCCAAGACTTAGGAACACAATCTCAGCAATACAGAATCTGAGGCAGGAATAATGTGACTGTCTTTCATTTGATTATGTGATTGCTTTCCTATAATGCAACTGCGCTAATAGAGTTAATGTGCAGTAGATCGTCTAGCCAGCAGGGAGAACACTTGATGGTAAGCAGTCGATGCCGCCATTTGACACCCAAAAAACCAGGAGATGACTAAAGCTAACACATTTATAAAGTTTATTACTTGGAACAGCAAAAGCAGTGATTTTGTAACTTATGTTTAGCATAATCATTTGAGTTTTTCTCTGTTCTTGGCTTTTAAATATGTTTCATATTCTTGATAAAATTGTTATTTTCTTTAATACAATTCCTAGCAAAACTAATAATGAAGACACAACTTTGAAGATGGCGCGTTGCCAGCGGTACACGCCGGCTGCGCTTCCTATCTCTTACAATGAGCAAAATATTTATTAACATGACTACAATAACATTTTTTGAATAAAAAATTATAAAATATATTCTCGTTAATAATATAATGATCATATCAGTTATTTAAAAGTGCCCCATAGAATGAAATGATGAATTTGTAAATTAAGCAATCACTAACAAATTCATTGTATTTCCTTGAAAATGTCGCTTCACACTTTCATTTATTGTGGTGTCGTGTGTTTCCAAACATATTCGCACTTACATCACACGGAACCACAAGTTGTGTATCACAGAAAGAGTTGTTGCGCAATTGTGTAATACTACGTAAAAAACTTAGTAAAAAGCGAGCGAGAGGTTGCTATATGGTCATGCACAATAATATACCACGGTGTTTGCCTGAAAAAGGAGTAGGGATGGACTGGTTTTTAGTCGGTAAGAGACTGACACTCCCTTTTGGACGGTAATGACATAGTAAATGTGTGAGAGAGAAAGAGAGTACTCTTCATAGTACTGATAAGAATGCGTAAAAATATGAAAGAAAATCAAAGACAGAAAATATTAAAATGAAATCGCAATCATTGCCACGATTTAGTCTGAAAACGTTTTCAGGATAGGGTTGAAATTAGTAATAACAGTATTATTAATATATCGAAGGCATTATCGCTATCTTCACTGAAGGGTCTGAAATAATTTCAACTAAAACGATCGTCTAAGTCAGTAACTCTAAGTAAATTGTTATTACTTAAATACGTAGTGATTCGAAATGTACTTCAGTGATGTCACTGATTTTATTAAAACCTTTTTGATGGAGACTATTAAGGATATGACTTAGACTAAAATTTCTAGGGTGTCTTCTATATTTGTATGGTATTGACTTTGCTTACAGGTGTTATAGAAATTAAATATACAATTTTTGAACATAGGTGCATAATAAAGTTTAACCTTGAGTGCATGTCAGGAAGTTTAAGATCCCCATAATATAAGTTGGGGTTGCGGGTTAAGGGCAATGAGTCACCGCGGCCTCGGCCCAGAGCAGGAGAAGGAACGGAAGGGTTTACTGCCTCCCGCCCGACCCTGAGCGGGTCATGCGATGATTTTCTCCTTACAAAAGAAGGTCCTATGTGGTGTGGTGTAGAAAGTATTATGTTGTAGTAAAATACTCAAGCGGATTTACTTGTCACTTCTGTAAATTCTAAATAACAGGAGTCTCATTTATTGGAAATATCTACAATAATATTTCAGAGAACTGTTTCACCCAAAGCATAGAGTAAGAAGTAGCGTATGTGTTTTTCGATACTATAGGTATATATAATCTACCTCCATCGCAAATTATATTTAGTTCCATTCAGTAGTTTTTACGCAAAAGAGAAATAAACACACACCCATACTCACAAACCTTCACGTGTACAATATTGTTAGATGAATGTTTACAAAAATATTTCCCTCTAGAAAAAGATTTACTATTCTGCTGATTTCAAGATATTGTTTTGTTTCCCTCCAGGAACATTTTCCCTGTCAAGTATTTCGCTCCCAATACTTGAAGATCGTTCACCTTGTGAGGTTAATTAATGGCCAGTTTGGTATTTATATCCTGACCTCATTTGGAAGCAATCTGTACTGGATCTGTACTCAACTCTTCTATAGTCTCAGGTGAGGTTTTCTTCTCAAATAATAATATTTTCTGATTTATTTCGTCGCGGGATCCAAGACAGTCATTCATGTTCCTGGGGTGCCGCAGACGTCGGTGTTTCGGTGTTTTTATAGTTTTATATACTGTAGATCCTGGCTTACAGGAGTTTTAGCGATTTTGGAAGGTTGTGGCGAGGAATGTTCCATAAAAAGTTTCTAATGGGTCGCGAGGATTAAAGAATTTGGAATCGGAAAGACAGGAGACTTGACATCTAAATTAGACTAGTTTTTTAATATCGGGATCATTAATGGACTGTTTTCGAGACTCGTATCAAACGTACTAAGAGAAAACTAATAAATCACCTAGCTTCAAGCAAAAATTGCTATAAAATTCGAAGGTGTATTCGACAAATTTACATAGATTCCCTTTCAACGAATCCTTAACCTGTACGCATTTTGTGGGTAACGTAAACGGATTTTCTCACCGTTTTACAATATTTGAAGGTTGTGGCTGAAAGGGTTGACCCATGTTAAGTCTTTAGTTCGCTAGGGTTGTGTTAATGTGAATATTGTGTTTGCAGTCGAACACAGACGGGACATTTTATCGCTTGTACGTTCAAAGAGCCGGATGGCGCGAAGTAAGTGTGGAGTAGACATTCTTGATGTATTGCTTTGATGTTGTGTGTGTTGGTATAAACTTGATAGCTATTGTGTTAGTGCTGGCTTCTTGATCATCATTAACATTAGCCTATAAGTGCCCACTGCTGAGCAAAAGCTTCTCGCACGGAGAAGGTTTACTCATTAATCACCACGCTTGCTTAAGGCGGATTGGCGATTTTAATCTTATAATTAGAAATTACCTACTAGCAGTACATTTTTTTTAATTTTCACGAATAATTCAAGACCAACATTAGCAAAATCGGTAAACGCATTGTTGAGTTAGAACATTACAATGAAAAGTTAAGTCCAGATTTCCTCACGATATTTACCTTCACCGTTTGCCAGTGGTGTCTAAATATTTATAGAAAGTACATATACTTAGTGTTTAGTAGTTTACTACTAGGTACTCAGAAAAAGTCACATTGGCACTTGCCAGGTTTCGAACCCACACCCTCACCTGCGTGCCTCACCTGAGAAGCGGGCGCGCTCACCTGCCACCACGAAGTGCTGGCTTATTTAGTTACTTTTCCCGATTAACACACGGTTTCTGAAAGGCTAAATTATCGAATCTCCTGTTAAATCTCTTGTCAAGTCATCTGATTGGTTATTGATAATTCAGTCGACCAATCAGATGACTTGACAAGAGATTAAATTGATTTTAACATTGATCGGCCTTTCGGAAACCGGATGTAAGTGCTCCGTTTGCATAAGTAGATGGTATATTTCTTTTAATAGAAATATACATAAATGTATATGTTTGTAATTTCAGTGCAGAACACGTGTTTGATAATCATCCTATATGTTCTTGGATGTTGGATGACAGACGGTGAGTATCTTACAATAGTAATTATTAAAAAAAATGTTTCATAGTGTTGTATTTGTTGTATTACTTCACTTTATTGTATGGTATAAGTCGGCAAACGAGCAGACAGATTACCCGATGGTAATCGGCGCCGCCCATGGGCACCCGCAACACCAAAAGAGTTACGAGTGCGTTGCCGGCCTTTTGGGGATAGGGGTTGCGGATATAAGGATCGGGAAGGGATAGGGAAAGGGGCGGGATTGGGCCTCCGGTAATCTCACTCACACGGCGAAACAATACATTTGGTTCAATAACATGAGTGCACTTTTAAAGATATCGATGCTAAAAGAAAAAATACTATACTACATTCAGTTTAAGGTCTATTTTTAAGAAAAAATTGACAATAATATTTGTATTACAGGGCTTTAAATGGTCTGGAACATTCTATTTACTTCACTTATTCGTTTTCATTCCTGTTGGTACGTACATTGATGGTGCTGCTTCTGGCTGCGAGGATCCATTCTAATTCCATAGCACCATTGTATGTGCTGTACGGGATCCCAAGTTCTAGGTTTCACGTTGAGGTGAGTTATAAGAATACGAATTATGAACTAAGTTTATAAATATACTGGCGATCCGTCCCGGTTTCGCAATTTTGCAATGCTAATACTATTAAAAGAATATTATTTTACATGTAAACCTTCCTCATTAATCATTCGGCCTATTAAAAAATTGTATATCACAATCCGTTGCGTAGTTTTAGGCATAGATAGGTATATTAGGAACAGAGAAAGTGACTTTGTTTAATATACTATGTAGTGAAGTTACTTTAAAAAATCTAGCTTAAATGGTATCGAACAGAATTACATGGCCTTTGCTTGACACCAGTGGTCTTAGATGCTTTCCAGCTAGGCTAGTGTAAGCGAAATCATATCAATCGGCCTAGCCTTGGCCAAATTTAGAACAGAAGAAGGAAAACGGTGGCTTTGAACCAGTAGGATTCCGACCCTCCTTGGTACTTTCTGAGTTCACCCTGGACAGGAGATAACTTTTAATTTCCACACAAATTTCATACTACAAAGAATGTAGAAGGAAACTTTGTTTTTAATTCATGCCTTTTAGAATGTATTAAATTCATATTAAAATACGTACCTATTACTTGTCTTACAACTAATGAGAAATAGGTACCTATATGTCATATTTGAATGTCATAATGTACATAATGTATATGTTAATTACAGGTAGAAAGGTTTATAGCACAAATAAACAACCTGAAAGTGGCAATGAGTGGACTGGACTTCTTCTATGTAACAAGAACTATGATTTTAACCGTAAGTCGAATTAATAATACTTTTGTTTTTGTATTTTACCTCAAGTGAGATCATACTATCTCTGGCTAAAATGGCTGGATCGATTTGGCTGAAATTCGGTTTGTAGATAGGTGATAATCTGGCTCTTTATCAACATGTATGTGGGCGAAGCAGCGGACGGAAGCTAGTATTGTAATGTATAATATATGGTTTGGTTTTCGAGGAAACTCGAATACATTCAAGTAGGGAGCTCCCGATGTGGCTTGAATCAAGTCGAGTTCCCATCCAAATGCATCATCTTGATGCATTTTTTTTTATTGAATTATTAATTACTATTACAAAGGGATGTAGGGACAGAAAAGGCGACTATGTTTTACACTATCTAGTAATTGTCAATTATAATTAAAAATGTAATTATTTTCAGCTTCTTGGAACAATCGTGACTTACGAGTTGGTATTGTTGCAGTTCAACAGGTAAAATGAAGAGAGAAAGAGATAAAGTATTAAACATAGTTTTATATTAGTACAAAAAGATTTTTATATAGGATACGATAGAATTGGAATTCGAAATACGAATAAATATTTAAATTTGAAAAGCGTTTTGGAATACGTAATTTTTTTTAAAGGAGACATAATTGGATTTGATTGGTGGCAGTAAGAAAAAAGGATATTAACGTATTGAAAACAGGATAATAATATATGTACTACATATATATTAATGTATGATAAAGCATATAATAATACTTAACTAGACTATCATAATTATTTTATATGCTTCATTCACTTCAGTAGATCATTTTCTACATCGGTTTATTAGTGCTATAATAGTCTAAAATAAAATGAGGTTTTGCTTGTAATTTTATTTTTTTCTTGAAACGAGTAACCAATGAACTAATTTGCTGATTTTTCAATAGTCAGATAAATGTTATAATGAGGAATAAAATTGTTGTTGTCACTGTCTTATACAAACATTCTGACGCGACAGCATCATAATTACGCCCCAGATAACTTTTATGTAACCATTGAAAAATAAGCCCTAAATAAAATAAAATAAAATATCTGGTGTTAAGAAAAACTTTTACGACTTAAGACTCGTAAACAAAAATAAAAAAGAAAAACAATGCACATAGGTACTGGTTTTCCATTTCATTTTAAAAACTTAATCCTACGTCCGCTGTACATCATTAGTGTTACAGTTTTTTGCTTGCCTGGTACTTTCGACCCAGCATGGCAGTGTACTAGGTACTCGCAGATATTATTCACTACCAGCAAACTAACGAGCTGAGTACCTGTTCTTTTGTATATACTTTAATGAGCCAAAAAAGGAAAGAAAAGTAGGAGAACATTTTGAGTGATATTGATATTTTTCTATTTCTTTAATGGTGGTTTAACAGCTTTAATAGTCGCGTCTAGTGCGGTTTTTGGCCCATTCTTCTAGATAACCTAATGGTAACAAGTTAGCACCACCCATGGGCACGTTTACCACTAAACGGATTACGATACAGTAGTTTCCAACTAGTCAAATTCAATTGACTGCACGGTTGGCGCGGTAGCTGGGCAACTGGCTGCCGCGCAACGTGTCGCGGGTTCGATTCCCGCACGGAACAACTCTTTGTGTGATCCACAGATTGTTGTTCCGGGTCTGGGTGTGATGTGCTTGTGACGTTGTATGTTTGTAAACGCACCCACGACACAGGAGAAAATCCTAATGTGGGGCAACGTTTTTTTTTTTTTTAAATGAAACTTACCCTTATGTCAAAAACGATACTTTCCTATGAAATTTGTATGAAAAACTGAGTTAAGACGTCATAGTATTTTTGCGTCAAATAGCTTACTTATTCCTTAATAATTAGCTACAAAATATCTAAACATGTGTGTATCGATCGATCGATAAATAAAAGTAAGTATAGTTATTTTTCAATATTTTTTTATATTGAAACGTTGAATTAATTTTATTTTTGACCTATACAACTACTCAATTGCTTTGCCAGCCGCTTAAGGATTGTTCAGCGTCAGAAATTTGGAGGTTGGACCACCGATGACCGGGTGGGTGATACGGGGTAAAACAATGCAAGCTCATAAATCACAAATTTCGCAAGTTGTTTGTTTGAACGCGCTAATCTCCAAAACTATTGGTTCGTATTGAATAACTATTCATGTGTTTGTTAGTCCATTTATCGAGGAAGGCTATAAAACATCACGCTACGATTTGTAGGAGCCGAGCAGCGAGTGAAATCGCGCGAGAGAAGCTAGTAAATTATAAGCATCATCTCTCACACATTCAATAAGGTATGGTGCATATGACAACTTTAATCAAGTTCAACATTGTGAAGAAACCTGGGTTTAAAATGTATAAATATTACTTTGAATTCACCAGTCCTTGAGCAAATGTGGTGTTTAATGCTCAAACCTGCTCTGTGTAAAATGAGGCCTTCGCTCAGCAGTTAGTTAGTAGCATTGTTTTTATGTGATTTTTCAGCAAACGAGGAAACGGATTACCTGATGGTAAGCAATCAGCGTCGCCCCCCACAACGACGGAGTAGTTACTAGCCTAGTTGCCGAACTTTTGGGGATAAGAGATTTCAAGATTTTGGGAAAGGGAACGGATTAGGGTAGGGGAAGTATTGGGCTTCCGGTAACCTCACTCGCACGGTGAAAGACAACTCTGTGGTTATTTCGCGCCGGTGAGGGCGTGGTATCACTCCGGTCGAGCAGACCCATTCGTGCCGAAGCATGATGAAACAAAAATCTCAATAAAGGCTATTGAACTCTTACCAATACTTATGGAAGCATATAAAAGCCATTATTATTTATTTCAGCTGTATAAAAACCTCTAGTATTTATGTATCAGACGATCAATTTTAAGACATCGTCAAACTCCCTGATAGTACTATTAATTTTTATTTATTTTATCAACGTATCTTTTAAAAGGTATATTGTGCTATAATATTAATGCTTCTGCTTACACCCTGTGGGGATTGAAAAGAGGGTTCTTTTTTACAATTTCCCTCTCTTAAATTTAAGTGTAGTGGTAGATTTATTTTGTATTTTTTTATGTTGAGGTGATGAAGTGAATGTGCATGTGAATGCTTACATATTGTTGTACCTGAACTTTTGAACAGTTACGTAATAAAAATCAAATCTATTGTAATACATCAGAAAACATTCTGGCTTCCGTCGCATTACTGAAAAGTTCTGATTCTTCGCCTGAACCGAGAATCTCTCTTATATCTCTTATCTTGGTATGCGTACTGCAACCTGCGCCGGCGCACGCGTGGGCTAGCGACCTTTGATCTCGAAATTTTGTACTGCATATCTATTCTAAACCCAGAAGCAAACCTGTTACTGGCATTAACTCTTTTCATCCGACTATTGCAAAACTTTACTGGCTGGAGGTGCTGCCCACAAGAGACATTTTTTTTATTTAATATAGGTAAGCAGTAAAAAAAATAGGATCAAGGTTGCTTGTCCACGCGTGCGCTGGCGCTGGTTGCAGTACGCACACCAAGAAGGGTTTCGATTCTCGGTTCAGGCGAAGAATCAAAACATGTCAGTAATGCGACGGAGGCCAGAATAAAATATTTTTGCAGTACTTTTATTGTTAGCCAAATTGTATTGTTATTTAAATCGGTTTAAAGCCTACTCTCGTGAAGGGTTCCGCAGCAGCAAGCAATATAATTTTACTATTTAACCATTTCGCTAAGGAACCCTAAACTTCAAGTAAAAAATCTCGCGTTAAGAAGTCAATCTTACTCTAACACGACGACAACGATAAAAAATCATAAAAAAAAATGCCAACATTTTGATCTTGAAAAAGTCTTCAAAAACGAAATTATTTCATATTCGCTTTTCCATGATCTTGTAACTCAATCTAAAATTGTGTTTACGTAATTTATTCTCACATTCCGACACCTAATTTCAACTTTCCGAGAATTGTAACATTTTGAATTGAAAAGGATTGCATACGTGTTTTCAGGGATCCGCAAAGACTAACTTAAATCTCTTGTCTTATTATTCTTGGTCTTCTGAAAGATAAATGCTATTAGGTATCTTCTTTAATTTTTTAATAGTAACCCTGGTCAGATGTTTGTCTTTTTTCTTGGAAACAAGGATCACCTAAAACTATATTGTATGAACTTTTAAAAGGGTTGTTCTGTGCGAGAAACGACCCGCGTTACGTATCGAGCAAGGCACGCAAGCGAAGTCCTAACTGTGCTTACCTAGACAATATTACGAAAATACCAAAATGAAGAATCTCTGGAGATGGATGATATTAAAACTTTTTGTTTCTATAAAGTTCTGCTTTAAATAAATACATTGCCAAGTACCTACACATTAACAAATGACACGGAAAGATAACAGCGTTGCTTTAACCGTCTGAAACGATGATATTATAAGTAAAAAGGTGTAGATAGGTTACAAGCACTCAGCAAGTGATACATTAAAATGTGGCTAACTAGCCACAGTTTTTATATTTGTCTCTTTTTCACTCGCGATTATTGAATCATGCCATCTCACTTTGACGTCTAAAGATACGAATTGTTCATGTGTGTATCAGTGTGTCGTTTTTGAAAATTGAATTTAGTTTAGGTAACCTATCTACACCATTTTACTTATAATATTATTGTTCTGAACACAAATATTTTTCTTTTGCTTTAATACCAAAGAAAAGCAATTGACACGTCAATAATGTCAGACCTGTAATGTCGAAGATAGAAAGACAGCAATAAGTTGTGTTCTCTTTTTAAATTCAAATTATATTGACCACCATTTTTCACTAGAAAAAAGTAAAACAAATGAGACATCAATAAAGTCCTGCACGAAAAGACGTATTTCTAAATTCAAACATTTATAAAAAGTACATATTTGTGAACCAAAACATACACACACACATGTATATTGGTGACATAGTGAAGTCCATCGCCTATTCTAATAAATATTATTGATAGTTAATGCAAGTTTACTGGAAGCCTTTTTTAAGGGAAACTTTTTTTTCTAATGTTTTCTCTCGTCCGGGGTGAGGCAAGAAGAAGTATCAGACGTTGTACTGGACCAGGTCGAGGTCATGGTAACTTATTGCGCTTGTCCCGCAACCTTAGTTAAACATCCACCTTAGTGGGCCCTATCTGTGGTGATCTAATGGTTCTGAGGCGTGAGCGGAACGCTGCGTGCTATACGCCCAAGTAGGGTTCTGGTCATGGTGATCGCCGTCCGCAGACTCGCGTTTAGGGCCATACCTTACCGAGATGCCATGGCGACGTGGACAGCCACATTGCCATGGCTACGTCTGGTGTTCCTGCGGCGCCCAATCGCGTTGCTAAAACATTCAGTTCTGTCTCGACACAGTCAGGGATGGACGTGGAAATTACTGCACTGTTATTGTATTATTACCAGCGTCGCAAAAAGATGAAACGAAAAAGAAAAAAATATGGGTCTATCCTTTTGTAAACGGTAGCCGAAGAGAGTGTCTTCTA